TCCCCAGCATATGCTGGAACAGGAGGATAGCCACAAATTCAAGGCCAGCCTGGCCTACATAACAGGACCCTGCCTGCCTCAAAAAACAAAACAAAACAAAAAAAAACTTTAAAGCCAGCACATTAACCCATAAGTAATGCTTGTTAAGGTGTTGAATTTGTGAAGAAGGAAGCCAGATTAATCTAATCTGAGGTTTGTCTCAGCCCTTGGATATGGCCTCAATTATCCCTACAAACCAACTATTTGATTTCCTTCTGGTTGCATCTTTACATGTTCACCATGCTATACCATAATATTTATTTCTTGCCCCAAACTCGAAGACTGTATATAGCATCATCTGTTCCTTGAGGAATGTTAGTTTTCTGCAGTAGTACTTATTACTGAGCAAAAGTTTCTCAACTATTACTACAAAGAACTTTGGACTCTTGTGAAAGACATTGATTCCACTTAGTTAATGTGATTGGCATTCAGAAAATGACTTATCGGTTTACTTTACTTTTGAGACAGGGTCTCCTTTTGTAGCCCTGGTTGTGCTGGAACTCCCTGTATAGACCAGGCTGCTGTCCTTGAATACAGAGATTGTCCAGCCTCTGCCTCAGGAGTGCTGGGATCAAAGGTGTGCACTACCTTGAACTGAGTAGTGTCTTCAATAAGTCGGAGCAGATTTCTGCTTTCCCCTCTCTGCCACTGCTATTGCTCTTTTCGTAGATAACAGCATGAAAGGTATAAATTTCTATTTAAATTTTTATGTGTATGGGTGTTGTCTGCATACCGTGTACATGCAGTCCCCTCAGAGACCAGAAGGCGCCATTGGGTCCCCTGAGACTGGAGCATTACAGATGGTTGTGGGCTGCCATGTGGGTTCTGGGAATTGAACCCAGATCTTCGGGAAAAGCAGCCAGTCAGTACTTTTAACTGTTGAGCTATCTCTCTAGTCCCTCTCCCGCCCCCCCCCCCCGCCCCCCCAGCACTAAGAATCTAAAGAGCCTGTCCTATTCTATTCCTAACTTCTTGGGTAATCTTGCAACTGACTGACTTACTAAAATATGTTCATAAATATATGCTATCTAAAGTCTGTTTCCTATGTGTGATATATATACCCATGTAGGTATTCTAGATGGTATATGTGTTGAAAGACATACTACAGAAAAAACAAATTTTAGTAACATTTCCAAACATTGGGACCTCACAGTAAAGCCTAACTCTGTTTAGCAAATGTATTTTCTTAAAATGTCTTTTCTTGATATATATGTGGTTTGGTTATCTATGCATTTATTCATTGATTGTCCCCTTAAAACATTCATATCCCCTATTCCTTAAGGCTTGTTTTTTAATCCTTGTTAACTCTGTGCTGGCTGATAAAGCCACATTTCCTTTAAGGTATGTGTTGTATGGATGGGGCTGGAGGGGTGGCCAGTGCTTAGGAGCATTTGCTATTCTTCCAGAGGATCCGAGTTTGATTCACAGCACCCACGTGGCAGCTAGCAACTGTCTGTGACTCCAGTTAACAGGGAATCCAACACCCTCTCCTGGCCTCTGTGAACATGGTAGACACACATAGATGCAGGCACACAGGCAGAACACATTGAGTTTTGCCATTGTATTTCTGTAGCAAATTATTGGTTCACCTAGAACTGAACATTGTCCAAGGGCCTAGCTTCTAACTTCAGTGTTTCTTTTCTCCACTTTAGTCCGCAATGTCGAAAAACTGCATCAAGCTTCTGTGTGAAGATCCTGTTTTTGCAGAGTATATTAAATGTATCCTAATGGATGAAAGAACTTTTCTAAATAACAATATTGTCTACACATTCATGACACATTTCCTTCTAAAGGTATATAGTTCTTCTGAAAGACCATTTCTGCTTAATGTGTACTTACTATGTTAGTCTTGGATGTTTTCTTTCTTACTATGTTTTCTTGGATGTTAGTCACGGCCATGTTTTCTTTTCCAGGTTCAGAGTCAAGTGTTTTCAGAAGCAAACTGTGCCAGTTTAATCAGCACCCTTATCACAAACTTGATAAACCAATATCAAAACTTGCAATCTGATTTCACCAACCGAGTTGAAATTTCAAAAGCAAGTGCTTCTTTAAATGGGGTAAGAACTGTGCTAAGAAGTTCAAAACTGACCTTAAATTCAGTTCTTACAGCCGGGCAGTGGTGGCGCACACCTTTAGTCCCGGCACTTGGGAGGCAGAGCCAGGTGGATCTCTGTGAGTTCGAGGCCAGCTTGGGCTACAGAGAAAGTTCCGGGACAGACTCCAAAGCTACAGAGAGGAACCCAGTCTTGGGGTGGGAGTGAGGGGATCAACTCTTACATCTGGCCTCTGTTCAACTATTACTGTTTTAGTATTACTGTTTAACGGATCACATATGATGAGAAAAACTATTTCAATTTGGCATTTCAGTGTATTAAGGGCAATGAAACCAGTAAGAACTAAGACAGTGGCATATACCTATAATCATAGCACTTGAGCAGTGGCAGGAAGATCATTGGCAAATTGGAGACGAGCCTTAGAACACAAGTTCTGTCTTTATAAAAGGCAGAATAGATCCCTTTATCTCTGCTTGTGTATGTGTGTGTTGAAATTTGTGATAATTATATTGTCTATGACTCCCAAGTAATCAAAACAGTCTCACTTATGATTATAAAGGCAGCTAAGACTAGAGTATATTGACTTATGTAGATTCTATGAAAGCCATAGAATGCAACATGCTAGAAACATGCAGACTGTCATTCAGCAGCAGCCCCTAACTAACAAGATGCAGGGTTTTTTGTTTGTTTGCCTATTTGTTTTTTTGGTACAGGGACATACACCAGAACTGAACTTGAGAAACTATGACTCCTATGAAATAAAATCAAATTTTATTTGAAATTATAGCATGATTTGAAATCACTATATAAACTTAAGCTGCATTATTTGGTTTCTGTTTCAAGAGTCTTTACTCTGGCCTACTTGACATAGGCACACAACAGTGGTATAAACGACTCAACTGATGGAATACTGTAATGTCCTAATGCTGGTTTAGCATTATTCCACATTGCTAGAGAAACCAGAATGGATAGATTCCTGGGAAAAAACCTCTTCAGCTTTGAAGTTTTGTCTAAATGTTCCTTGAGGATTTGAACTCTTCTATCTGGGTTTTTGTAGGACCTGAGGGCACTTGCTCTGCTCCTGTCAGTACACACTCCCAAACAATTAAACCCAGCTCTGATCCCAACTCTGCAAGAGCTTTTAAGCAAATGTAGAACTTGTCTGCAGCAGAGAAACTCACTCCAAGAGCAAGACGCCAAAGAAAGAAAAACTAAAGGTGAGCTTTGTCAGCTGAGGCTGAGGCTGGGGCTGGGGCTGGGGCTGGGGGAGGAAGACAAGCTGGAGGTGTGGCTCAGTGGTCGCTCTTGCCTAGTACTGCAAGCCCTCAGCTTCAGCACTATCAACAAAAGCTAACAACAACACTGGCTTCCCCACAGTTGCCCCCATAGGATTTTACTCTTCTTTTGAAGAAGATTCTGGTTTAATGTAATTTCCCCCACAGATGATGAAGGGGCAACTCCTGTTAAAAGGCGACGAGTAAGCAGTGATGAGGAGCACGCCGTAGACAGCTGCATTGGGGACATCAAAACAGATACCAGGGAGGTCCTGACCCCCACTAGCACCTCAGACAATGAGACAAGAGACTCATCGATTATTGATCCAGGGACCGAGCAAGACCTTCCTTCCCCTGAAAATGGCTCTGTCAAAGAGTATCGGATGGAAGGCCCATCTTCCTTTCCAGAAGACGGGTCACATATCCGGTCCCAGCATGCAGAGGAACAGTCTAACAGTGGCAGGTTTGACGACTGTAAAGAGTTTAAAGACCTTCACTGTCCCAAGGATACTACACTAGCTGAAGACGAATCCGAATTCCCTTCAACTTCCATCTCTGCAGTTCTGTCTGACTTAGCTGATCTGAGAAGCTGTGACGGTCAAGCTTTGTCCTCCCAGGACCCCGAGGCTGCTCTATCACTCAGTTGTGGCCATTCCAGAGGCCTCTTTAGTCACATGCAGCAACACGACATTTTAGATACCCTGTGTAGGACCATTGAATCAACAATCCATGTGGTCACAAGGATATCTGGCAAAGGAAATCCAGCTGCTTCTTGACATTAGATGTGGCATGTCTACTTTCCAGTGCCCCTCCCCCATGCCGTTTGTCTCGATTTTGCTGATTTGTTTTGTGCTTCAGTTTGTCCAGTGCTCTCTGCTTGAATGGCAAGATAGATTTATAGGCTTACTTCTTGGTCAGGCAGAACTCCAGATGAAAAAACTTGCATCTTCTGTATACTTTCTAAAGGGCAATCAGATAATGGGTATGTTTTATGTAATTAAGAGTTCACTGTAGTGGCTTTCATTTAATATGGCTTTCTGGGAGAATCAGGGCTCTGACCCTGTACAATGTAATTTAAACTTACAGCATTTTTACTGTGTATAATAATATGGTGTCCTCTGTGCCAGTTTTGTACCTTAAAATAAGAGAGGCAGATTGCCTCTGATCGCTGTGGTTCTTATTATCAAAATTAAGTTTACTTGTATACGGAACAACCACAAGAAATTTGATTCTGTAAAGAATCCTCTTTAGCTGTGGCCTGGCAGTATATAAATGGTGCTTTATTTAACAGAATACCTGTGGAGGAAATAAAGCACACTTGATGTAAAAATAACTGTTTTATTTTTATTGAAATGACTGACTGTTCTGTGTACTTAATTAAACTGACTGTGATGACTTTCCTTTGTTACGTAAGTTGTTTCAGTTTCCTTGGACGACAGCAGTGAGCCGACTGGAGGGAGGAAGCAGGTGGCCGTTTGGCTGTTTGAGAAGTCCTCAGTAGTCCAAAAAAGTAACTTACCACGTGGATGTCTCGTTCCTCGGAAGCCACCAAGGAGAGCAAGAGAAGTGTTAACAATGCAGCCAACTAGCCCTCACCACAACACTTCTAAGAACTACACTTTGAAAACTGGAGTAGAACAAAATAGTATAACATGCCATTTATTTGTCTTAAGCTTAAATCAACTGTAGCAGTGAAGTAGTGTGTTGGGACCAGCCTTAGCTTGTGGGGACTGGACTTCACCTACTTTCCAGAGAGGAACAGCCATGGAAGGTGAGACGATGCCTGATTTTACTCAGTGCAGTAAAGCTTCAAGCAGTATTTTTCAATTCTGTAGGTTCATGAATTTCATCCAATATAAAATAAATTAGGGACCTTGGAGGAAGAGACTTTGAGGAAGAAAGAAGAGGTAAGTAAACAGGCCAGGTTTCTGCTTACAGAAGGATGTCCTTATAAAACCTAACTAATTCAAGCATTCTGGGTGGTGAGCTGAAGTAAACCTTTTATTTCTTCAAAGTGTTGCTTCTGCCAACAGAATTTTGTATTCTCTTCTTTACAGACAGGAACTCCTTTACAGTCCAATTGTAATTCCGTTTGCCCTGGAGCAGGCACAAAATTCAATGCAACTGTTGCATAGTGTTCTGGGGGGAAAAACCAGGAGCCTTATTATGACATCAGAAAGAAGAAAGTGTCCAGGCCAGCTGCACTTGGCTGGGCTTCCATATGTAAACTCATATAACATACCTTCCGGCCAGTTCCTGCATCTCCATTTCATGGTGATCTTCCTGTTTGTTAACTGAAAACAAAGGAGACATTTCACTAAAAACATTTATTGAGGAAAGGCGCAAAGCTACACAGTAAAACCCTGTCTCGAAAAACCAAAAAAAATAAATAAAAATAAAAACATTTATTGAAACTTGCACCATACAACAGAAGAAACTAACCCTTCCAAGTTAAGCTCCTTTTAATACTAGAACCAACAAACAGCATACAAACCTGTGTTCCAGTTTACGCCATTGCTCTGCAATATCCTTGGCAACATTAATACCAAGGACCAAACTACAGTAATCCCTGGTAACTACACAGCTGATTGGAAATGCCAGTGGTATCTGGCAGCTTGGACCCTAATGACAGAGTGCTGGAACCAGCAGAGCTTGAAGTCTCCAAGACAAAATGGGGCAGAATTACTATCACAGTAAGGCTTAGTTCTTATCATTACTTAAACAAAATGCACAGTATGTAACATTTCTCTACATTGAACCTTATTAAAAAGAACTTGAGACTGAACTCATCAAAACCTTTAAACAAGTTAAAACTAATAGGAGTGAAAGAGCAACCCCAGGTCACCACAGGTGACCCCAGGTCACCACTGTAACCTTGTATTACTTACCAGTTCCACATATTCTCCAGTGATGTTCCCATCAAACATCTGGAATTTCCCTCCCCTTTCAGCTTCTAATACAGCAGGAGATTTGGAAAATTTTTGCACCAACTAGCCAAACAAAACAAACATATTACTCCAATGCATGCTGTCCCCCTACGCATGTGGTAAGGCATATACCAGTATCTAATATGCCAGGTCAATCAGCATTTCACCAGTGATGTGGCTTTGCTTTAATTTTGTTGGACATCAAAGCTTTCTTCTTTATAGAGGTGGGAAATTTATATATCCCCCAACTGCTGATACAGCCCACCACAAGTTGTCACTTGTCGTCACTCAAGTTCTTCAGAAGCAGACTGTTCCTTGGGCCTGGCTCAGGGTGTTACTTACGTCTTTCACGGTGAAGATGCTGTACAGCTGCTCTACTGTCGTGTCAAACTGCTCCGTCAAGTGCAAGGCTACAGTCGGAATCCTCACACCCAGTGCCACTGGAGAAGCCTGCACCTCAGGGTGGGAGAGGATCAAGAGTGAGACACCACAAGAGAAGCGACAGGATCCAAAGGTCACGCCTACAAGGTGCACACTGCTGCCTCCACTTAGAGAAGAACAGCACTAAAGTTCTCTGCTGCAGCGGTGCTGGCTGTGAGGCTGGAAACGGCTTGTTCCTGTGAGCACTTTACCTCCAGTCCACTCCCAGGCTATAGCTCAACACCTCTGCTCTTAGACCCAGAACATGACAAGAGGGTGGAAGATGACCACACCTGAAGGGTGTTAATTCCATGCATACATTCCAAAACCAAAACCAAGCCCTTGAAGAACGTTCTTCTGCCACGATAGATGAGCCTCAGTGTCACTTGCTTTTGCTGGCTATGATGGCTTACACTTCTGCTCTCAGCAGACGGGTCTGAAGCAGGGTCACCTTGAGCCTAGGCTAGTCTATCAACCAATGACTTAAAAATAATTTTAATGAAGTACACAGCCTATTTAGTGTTCTCATCCATCAAGAATTGGAACCTCAGGCTAGAGGTGAGTTCTGTGGTAGGGAGCATGCCCAGAATACAACCGCCTCATACCTGGCACAAAAACAAAAAAGGAGTATTTTGTCATTCCACAAAATGACATCAATACCCTTTCCTCATCTACAACCCAGTATCATCAAAAGATTGTCTGGAAACTCATTAAAGGTGTCTTCCCTCATTATAGCCACCAGGCTCATACCTGCAAAGTATTTCCAGTCAGTTTCCTCTCAACAGTCAGTTCCTGGGTTGCTACAGCTTTTGTTGGTAAAATCATTCCTGTTGTAAATTCTATAAGGAAATAAAATTTTATTAACATTTTTATCTAAACTGGAATTTTTCAAAAGAACACTTTGAGGCCTTGAAAAGAACTCCCATGTTTTTACATATATTACTGATGCTTATTAGCAAAGGCCCTTTATTCTTTGTTCAATGCCTTGCTTTACCACATTCCTCTAAAATGCTGATTTTTCACAAGTTCTAAATAGCTAGGTTGTACATGATTAACTATTAATAGCTTATGGTCCTCACCTACTCTCCACTACCCCTCACAAAGCTTATTCTCACCCAGTTTTCATACCTGCAAGGTCTTGTGGGTAGAGTGCTGACCCCAAACCTGTGTATGCCAATACCTGGGCACTCAATGAGCAAGCTTCAAGGATGAGCTACAGAGAACGCCCTGCTGGCCACTCTGCCCAGCTGTCACCTCTCATTTGGGAAAATGACAATAGCCTCACTTGATACAGTATAGGGATCACCTAGGTATTACTGATACCTGTAATATCTGTGGTCACTTTCATTCATACATTCATTCACTCAGCAAAGATTTATTAAGCACCTACTATGTGCCAGGCATTGTGCTAGATGCTCGAGATACAGCAGTGAACAAGAGAGACACCTTCCATGCCCTCATGGAGCATATAGTCTAGCAGGGAAGACAGACATTAAACAAGTAATTACACAAAAACTAGTCAACTGGGGTGTTTTGTTTTTTCTTTTTTGAATGGGGTCTCACTGTGTGCCGAGACTAGCCTCAAACCTGCAACAGTCTTCCTACCTCAGCTTCCCGAGTGCTGAGACTTTAAGTGTACCACCATGCCCAGCTCAGGAAATTAGTGACAAGTGGCAATTATTACAGTCTTTCCCACAACTAGCTTTCAACACCCAGACTACAACTTAGTCTGCAGTCTAGTGATGTTTCAGGAGCCTGACTTGGGAATCCATCCCTCTTGCAAAATGTAACTTGGCAGGGGGCTGGAGAGATGGCTCAGAGGTTAAGAGCACTGCTTGTTCTTCCAAAGGTCCTGAGTTCAATTCCCAGCAACCACATGGTGGCTCACAACCATCTGTAGTGAGATCTGGCGCCCTCTTCTGGCCTGCAGGGGTGTGTGCAGACAGAACACTGTATACATAATAAATAAATCTTTTAAAAAAAATGTAACTTGGGTAAACAGCAAGGGACTCCGTGGTTCACAAGGGATGCCTTCTTTACCCGTCTTAAGTGCCTTCAGGTACTCTCCAAGAGCCTCCCTGACCTTGGCGGTGCCTGTAGTTTTCATAAGATCCTTCAGTATGTCCCCATCTCCTTTTTTTTTACTCACGTTCACCTACAAATCAGAAGAATACAATGGTACAATGAAATGTACAAAAGAATACAATGGTACAATGAAAATGGTACAAGAAATGTACACTGCTTCATGGTCACAGAGGAGCTAAGCATTTTTGAGGCCAGTACTGGCAGCCACGTTGTGAATGGACTGAACAGATCAACCATTTAACTTGATTTGAAATTGCCTAAGTATAGGAGTTAAACTGATCGTGGTTTTATCTAGAGAGGGTCTGGTATGGCAGCTCACCTATGGCTGAGCATTTAACAAGTGCCTGGTCTGAACTATGCTGTCAAAACTAACACACCAGATTCCAAAGACTAATACAGGAGGAAAAAAAGGTAAAGTACCTCATCAGTTATTTGTTAATTACATGTTAAAATCATATTTACTCTCTACTGGATACTGGATTAAAATTTTTAATTATTTTATCTGGTTTTTAATGTGGTAAATTAAAATTTAAATTGCATTATATGGCATTTATACTGAACAGCGCTGTTCTACAAACCCAAAGCCACCACCCAAGAAAATCAAGTTCCCATATAACCTGGCCTTGGACTGTATACTCTTGTCAGAGAGAAAAATCAGCTAAGGGAGAGGAAAAACGAAGAGGAATGCAACAGAAAGACAGGGATGCAATAAGTGGTCTGGTATTCGGAATGCAAAAAGGTGTCCTCAAACTACAGCAGGTCCCAGTGATTCTGGACTGGGCTGCATCTGAATCTGAATTCAGATGGTACTTGCAGGATAGACCTTTAGATCTGTTTAATATGCCACCAGGAAGCTGCATTGTTGAGCTCTATGTGGTAAAACTACAGCACCCAAGTCCAGCAAGCTAAGTCTGAAGGTTATGTCTGAGACAGGCCCACTTAAGACCTGAGACACACTTAGAGACGCTTTTGCCAGTGTCTAGCTTTGGAATAACAGCTGCTGTACAATGGTCTTGCCCCCAAGAGACAATGTGAAGAGTCAAAATGGGCATAGGAATAAGTCAGCTCCTCTCAGGGGGACAAGAAAGCCAGCCAGTCAAAAACAACTTGTTTTTTAAGCAATGAGACAAACGAGTACAGTACAGTTGAAGGCTGAGAACTGTCCCACTAAGGGGACAGTCGCATTCAGCAAGCCATGCAAGTACCTTGTCCCATTTAACCTGAATACATCCCAGGGTCAACTAACGACACAGATGAGGAAGCCAGGCTGCTGCAGTCAGGTACCCGGGTCCGGGGAGTCTGAAGCTCCCTAAGGGCGTCCTCTCCCACACTGCTCCAACTCTCATATACCCATAGTGCAATGGCAGACAACCTCCACAGTTCACAACTACCACGGGAGACCACACACCCAAGTGAGGAGTCTGCAAGGACCCAACACCAAGAGCAGAAGCTTGACTAGAAAGGAGAGCCTAGCAGGTACCTCGGTGTCACCGACTTCGTTCTCCTCAGAAAGGCTGGGTATTTCGATCAATCCTTTGTGTTTTGCACCAGATTCTTTAACTGTACCTAAAAGGAGCAAAATAGGCACAATTAATAACTGGTTTTATTCAAAAGTCCTCTGCCTGACTGAAGAGCCCACGTACGGCTCCACCCCCTTACAGGGTTAAAGCCATCCAAGAACAACCAAGACACGGTGGCTGGATCAGCCAATGTGGTGTACACAAACTGGCTATCACCCCTTTCTCTTGTCTAGCAAGAAGGGCTATCCTGAGGGGAAGAGGACACCAGAAGGACAAGTGGACAGAAAGGGACAGAGGGACAAAAAGGGAAAATGAGCTCTGACCATGGAAAGCTTCAAAAGCTGTGGCTTGGCAAAGTCTATGTGGACTTGGTGAAGTTGGATTTCTTCCCAGACCAAAGCCTCAATGTCCTCGAGGACACAATGGGTTAAAAGCCCTTGCAGCCAACTCCTGGTTACACACAGAAACTTCCTGTTGTTTTTCAATGCACATCTTTCTTACCATACTGGTCTGGGAGTATACAGAGCACTTAATATAATTTTACTCAAAATGAGTACTAGGTTCACAGGCAGGGCTATGCAACTGGAACACTGTTCATCAGCAGCCACACTGACACTTAGGCATGATCTAAAGGCATTTCATTGCCACAAAACAAGGTGAGAAAGGGTTCCACGACCCACACCAGGCTGCCTTCCAGCCCGATGAGTTGAGTTCATGCCTCACAGGCATCAGGAGGGACTGATTCTCTGAGCCTAGACCATATGTGGGACAACTCCAAATGCCAGTTTTGGTTTTGTTTGGTTGGTTGATAAATGTAACTAACACATTAACTTAATCCAGAAGTCATACTTTCTGGGGTCTGGAATACTCATTTACTTTTCAAAGCACAACACAGGCCACACTCTTCATTACTGAGAAGACAAAGCCCTGAGACATGGACCTGACTGCAGAAGTGTGCAGACCAGCTCGCAGCACACACGGGCTCCAGCCACCCTCCTCAGTCAGTCAGCGAACAAACACTGGCAAAATCTAGTATCAGAGGAGCCCTCCCTTGGCTTGGACAGAGCCCAGGCTCCAGAAGTGCTACGCTAACCAGATTCTCTAAAGGGAGTGTATGTAGGAGACAGAAATGCCAAGGTGCAAAGGTCAGCCCCAGAGCCCCACCTACCTCTTCAGCTTGAGATGCCCATAAACGTGGTCCGTGCTGACTTGCAAGGGAGGTGCCACGGAACAGAGTAAGAGGGACAGCGTCCTTAGGACACGGGCCTGCCCACTTGCCTTTACTTCTTGCCTTTGCCCTGGCAGTCACAGGTTTGATGCCCACTTTGGTCTCTTCACTCCCCATCCCACCCCCAAGGAACTACCCAGGGATGATGGGCTTCAAGGTCTCATCCCACACATAGACAACAGGAACACCAATCGGCAGATTCAGCTCAATGATGGCCACTTCAGAGGGACCTTCAAGATGCTTGATTCTGCCCCAAAGACTGTTTCCATGGCAACAATATATATGTCTTTCCCCTTCTAGGTCTGGGGATCTATTTTCTTGTCATCCAAAAAAGTGGTTGTTTGGGGCAAGGGAAATGAAGAGCTACAGGCCACGAGGTTCTTCAGACTCCAGGCCTGCTACCCCCCAGCAGCAGGAGCTACAAAGAAAGCAAGTCAGGGCAACCCCCAGCTGGAGGAGGGGTCTGTTCAGAGTCAGGGCTGAGACTGCTTGAGTGCATGTGCAAGTGAGTGAGCGTGCACATGTGTGCACGTCACTTAAGATCTAACCTAGAGCCTTCTGCACACTAGGCAAGCATTCCATCACAAGCTACATTCCAAGCTCTTGGCTTTTATGAAGTAGATCTATGTAGCTCAGGCTAGCTTTAACTTGCCGAGAATTTTCTGGGACTGCTTTGATATTTGAATACTTCCTTGACTCCTGCACAATGACATCAGTCCCAGGCCAGCGTAGAGAACTCCTCTCTAAAACTACACAGAAAGGAGCCAATGCAAGGGCAGAGCCCAACTTTTTAACACAGTGCAGTCTTCCATAACCAGATCTCTCTTGTCCTCTTCCTGTCCCTGGGTCTGATCCTTGGTCATTTCAACAAGTATTGAGTCAAAAGTTAAGTGCCATAGGAGAACTTGGCAAAGATAAGAAAATCACCAACAGAAATGCCTGACTAGTAAACAGACAAAAATGTGGTCTATCCACACAATGGATACAAAAAGCATAAAATACTGAAACACAGTACAACACGGAATGAAAACATGACCTGGAAGCAGAGTCAGGGAACTGTACACATGACAGGATTCTCACTATATGAATTGTCAGAGGCAAATCCACACAGACAAAACTTATGCTAAAGACCCCAGCCAGGGGAGGGCTGGCAAGTCAGCTCAGTGGTAAAGGAGCTTACTGCTGCAGCCTCCTGACGTGAAGTCGATTCCGAGAACCCAAACAAAGGTGAAGAGCCAACTCCACAAATGTGTCCTTGGACCTCATAAACCCACCAGGGCACACATGCGCCCACACACATTGTACACATGCATATTTTTTAAAAGACCCACGGGTGGGCCGGGAAGGAGGCACAGTGTGTACAAGTTGTTTGTCTTCATGTGCTGTGGCACACACAAATGATTTTAACTTTTTAAATAAAAGATTTCGAGGGAGCAGGCATCTGTAGAGGAAGGGTGCTCCAGGCAGCAGCTCCATGAAGCCCTCATCACAGCTGATGGTAAGAGGGTTCAGCTGAGAGAGTACTGCCCGTCAACCATCTAGAGTGCTGGGTAAAGTGCAGTTTCAGGACCCAGCAACTCCAAATGCATCTGCATCAAGAACTATACTGCTCACTAACTGGAAAAACTGCCCCGCCTGCCTCTCGCAGGACCCCATTACCTTTCCAGGTCAGCCGGATGTTCCACTCATAGAAGAAAATAAGCTTTCCTTTGCGGCTGCTACAGGAAGCCTCCCCTTCTACCTGCTTCATCTCACTGATCTCACATCGGCCAGCCTCATTCTCCACAGCAAGGCCCACCAGGAGCTCTCGGAGCTTCCCCTTGGACCAAACAGTGGCATCCCGCTCTGTCCTGCCAGAGAACAGAAAGACACGAGTGAATGACCCAGCTCGACTCCATCGGCCCAGCCAGATGCCTTCCAGACCCACGCCAGGTGAGCCCTGTGACTCACACGGCCTCCAACTTGCAAATGTGCTTCTTCGACTAGGTTTCTACTAGGTGTCTTCTAAGCCTGCTGCTCAGTTTCTTAAGACACTATTATTCATCATATACTACTGGGCAATCTTAAAAACAATGGCCCCGGGAAGGAGAGTCAAGCAATCTTACCCACAGGAAATTATTGGGCTGAGGCCATCTGTAACGGTTTAAATAACCTTAATCACAGTATCAACTATTGAGCTTGTCCATATTTATCTTATGCACTCCCCCTAATGCTCCCATCTGAAGGGACGGAGAGCGGCTGTGACAAGTCAGTGTCCTAGCCACGGAACCCAGCCTAGAACACTGGACATCATTCTTTCAGGACAGCCAAGTCATCTAATGGTGCGGTCCGGGCTCGGCCCCGGGAACTGCCTCAGCTTTGCCCAACGCCCGCCAGAGAGGCGGACATCTCCCGGTATTGCAGAGACACAAAGCGGGCGGGCAGCTAGTGCAAACTGAGACAAAGCCAAGAAAGTGAGATCCAAGCCCCTGCCCTTCCAACTGCAGGGGATACGGCCCTCGGCACACGCACGCGCACTACGCAGCTCCAGCCCGAAAGGGCCTGGTGAGGGGCGACCGAGGCACAGATGTCGGGGGCGGTGAGGCACCAGTCCCTCGCGGGGCTTGGCCCAACTTTCGGGAGGCGCCCGACGCCGGAGGGCCGGGGCAGTTACGAACCGTCTCCCGCCAG